ATATAACGACTAAAATAAAATAAAATAGATATTTATAATATGGTAATATAACAATTACAGTTGTTAAATGTTCATTTATACAGAGACAAAATTTTTTTAAATATTTAAACTGATTTAAAAAAAAAAAATATATATATATATATATATATATATATGTATTATTGTTATATATATAGAAATGATAACCTACAAGAAAATTAAATCTTTAAAAATAAATATCTTAGTATACAGTATAATATAATATAAATCGACTTATAAATTTTTCCACGACGGTCACTGTCTAGTAAAATATGATAGCAACATGAATCGACTGAATTTCTAACGATGTTTTATACTTGCGAAAAAATATAAATAGAATTGACAGTTTGCTTAAACTATAGAAACCTTAATCCATTATCTCAATAATATAACTTAATTATTAAGTGTTAACTTATTAAATGTCACTAATGAATAGCGTCCATCTCTAGTCCGTCCATCTCTAGAAGCATAAAGAAGATCTTTCCAGGCATTTTTACTGACTTAAATTCATGAAGGATTAACAATTACTAAACAACTTAATTGTTTATGCAATTGGAAATATTATTAAATTTGTACGATTAATTCCCATCTCTTGCTAAATTAATATTAATCTTATTTGCACTATTTTCATTGTTTGCATTATGGTATATTTTAAAAAAACGGTACTTTTATTTATTCAGAAAACTTTGGAACTGCTGTTTAAGGCCTCTAATTACAATATTATTGATCAATTTAAGCGTTTGAATTATAAGATTGAAATACATGAAAATTAATCTAAGCTATCGAGTTTCAATTTTTATTCTATAATTGCTCAAATAATGTTCTTACTGTGTTCGTTTAAAAACGAAGAAATTTTTTTTTTTTTTTTTTTTTTTTTTTTTAATTTTATTTGAATGTAGCTCAATATTTTATAAAAGGTATTGATTTTTTAGTAAAGAACATGTTTCCATTGTTAAAATATTATTCTATAATTGAATAATAAAACAATTATTCAAGAACTAAAATCATTTATAACGATATAGTGGATGGAATAATTTATATTAATATTAAGGATCTTTTAAAATGTTTTTTTAATATTTTGAACGCCAAAGTCTCCAGAACACTAATAAAATATTGTTTTCATAAAACAAAATGTATCAATGGTTTTAGGTTTGAAATTGTGAGGTTAATAGTTAAAGTTTCAAGTTTAACATAAATATTTTATTGTAAAATTGAACAATATTATTGTTTGACAATATTATATTCGTTGGTAATATTTAAATACAAATTGTATTATTTAATTCAATATTAAGCTTCATTAAATAATTGTAAAATTTAAAAGAAAAATTCTTAAATCGATGAAAAAAATTGGAAAAAATATTTCAACAATATGCCGAACTATGCACCGAAATTTTTAACAAACTGTTATTATTTATTATATAATAAAAAAATTCTTTGATTCGTTAAATGATCAGAGGCTGGATTTTGGTGGAGTATTATACAAATTCTACTATGGTTTGTATTTTTTATTTTTCTATTAATTGCTCCTTTAAAATAAATTTAAAACTTATATGTAATATAATTAATAATATCGCTATTCCTCGAATGCGGCTCATAATATTTAATGTAAAATATTGATGATGCAGATAACAACATATTATTTATACATTAAAAATACTGGCACTTAAATATTACTTATACATATGATAGAAAGTTACGTAATTGGTAAATGAAATCTATTGTAAGAGGTATTTTCTGAATTAATTTAACGTTTATCGATAACTTTATTTGCACGTGTAACTTTATCATTTCATTAATTCACGCGTACTTCGACAATAAATTTAAGTATTTCAATAATGAATTGATTAGAAAACTTTCTAATTTCCCATTATCAATCTGTGACATAAATAAGAGAACAAATTATGCAGTATACTTAGAGTATATTTTGTAGAAAAAAATTCCGTATTAAACTTTTATTTTTTAGATTTATCTATTTCATCTTGTTTCGTATTTTGTCGACATGAAAATATCATTTTGTACTTTCTTCGGTCAAAAATGTACGTAAGACTCAATGTTTCGGAAGACGAGACGGCAAGTGTTTCCAAGTATCAGAACTTCTCTTAAAGCTACGAAATCCACTACGTTTCCAACTTCGTTAATTCGTTGTCGAATAAAATTGACGGCGCACTTTACGAGAAAAGCAGACTTTCCGGTACCATATTTTTTCATGATCCGATAGTGATTTCAAGCGCACATAAAATCTTTAGATTAATGATTTAACTAAAAAAGAGGATAAAAAGGAAGAGGAAAGAGAATGAAATAATTCGATACTAAAAGTAGTTCGCTTGCATTGAAGAAGAATAAATATTTAAAATATCCATTAATAATAGTATATATTTTGTTTGTTTTCTCGTCACTTTCACCGACTGGTAAAGAATAATTTGTCTTTGCAGCGGTATTTGAAGAAATTCGTGTACTTTAATTCGTGTAATTTATTTAACTCCGATCGCTATATTCTTTGAATTATCTATCTTTGTTTCTATCGGTTCTCACTATTTTCTCTACTACTTTAAAATATCCATTAGCTAGAAATTAACGGATAATTAGTGCCATTTTCAACACTGAATAATCTATATAAAGTAATTCTTTTTTGTGCAAATATTAGTCATATTGAGAGTCGAGCGACAATAGAGAGTTGCCAATATGAACTAATACTAATAACTGAGCCTATATGTAATAATGTAAAATCCCGATATTTTTGAACTATGTATTTTTACATAAAGTTTTCTTCTTTTTATATTTCCACGTGGTAGTTGCAAAAAGCATTTGATATTTATATCTTATTGTATTACTGTTCAAAGTTCAAAAAAACTTTTATACCAAGTAAACTAGCTATATTTTAATAATAAGTTAGACTAGCGTTATAGTTAAAAAAAAAAAAAAAAAAAAAACAACAAAAAGTACCATAAGTTTAATTAATTTTAATAACTGAATTATTGCGTGTTTAGTTTTTTTTTCTAATGAACGAGTTCTTACATGTATTATCAGTTGAACTAAATAATTTCTAATATATTTTTACCACTTTTTCCACTTTATATCCAATTTCTCAGTTATAAATTCTCCGTTGATTCTCCAATGTCCTGTGTGCAAGGTTGCGCATTTTTATTATTCATTATTATTGTAAAATTATCGACGCTATGGGCTGTAGCTGTCGATGTCATTTAATTTCCGTGCTAATCGATACTCTAAAGAAATGCGTAAAAGTATATCGAATCAATTAATAAAAATTTGCGTTCATTAAGCAAGCAGCACTTTAGTACCTACGCATAATATTTTCTCTACTTGAAAAATAGTTCGCTAAATTCAATAACTTGCATAAATTAAATTTCAAATGAATCTACTTTACCCCTCTCACCACCACCACCACCCCCCCTCCCCTTAAAAACATTTTCACGAAAATGAAAAATTGACAGACGACCTTTTATATATATTATATATATATATATATATTTTATATATATTATTTTATACTCGGATAGTAAGTGCCTAAAAGTGTCAGACTTTCGGACAAGCGTCACGTCACTCGCGTGACTGGAAAATTTCAAACTTGTCAGAACGGCGTTTGCGATTACGTGACGTAGGGCTCGTCGTCGTTGTAGCGCGACGAACTATTAAAGTCCAAAATCGACGATGGACCGACGATAATTGTCAGCTATTATGAAGCTCTTTCACATCGATCGAAACACTTGAATGACCCAACAATGCTGTAACTTACATCGCCATCGTTATACATAAGACGATTTTCCAATCTTCACGATTCTCCACTGCCGCACGCACCTTTAATTTCATCCAAGAGTCGTGAATCGCCTTTACGGCTACTATAAACTCGACCCTTTTATAGAAATTTATCGTTTCTTTATCGTATATCAGCCACCCTTGCCAACCCCCCCCCTCTCTCTCTCAATCCTCTATCTCTATACTTTCTTTCAATAGTTTTTATAATCACTTATCGACAAATTTTTGTCTTCAAGCTTATCTTTAAATAGCACCCTGTCCCTCGGCTTTCTTTGCGATTCTTTATGAACTCGAGCTTATCCATCTTCTTGGCTCCAATCGGGTAAAAGCAATTTCGCGGTAATGAAACATTTTAATTTTTAAGGATAAAATTAAGGTATCGCGAAGCTCATTTTATAAATCCGAGGAAAATGCTCCGATACCAATTTGCATTTTAATTTCATAATGCTGCAATTGATTATTTTATGTACTCGTGTGCACGTACGCATACCTGTGATATTATTAAAACTTTAATCGGCTATTTTGAGCTTCCAATTTTGTTAAATTTTGCATGAGAATTCGTAAAATCCCGTGCAGAATTAGACCAACTTATTAATATAAATCATAATAATATAAGCATAAACTGAAAATAGCTGTAGAAGTTATTTTCTATCTGTATTGTTGTAATTGTGACGGAAAAATTGGGTGCTTGATTAAAAGAAAAAAACAACACTACAAAAAAAAAAAAAAACAACATTTTTCTATCTCAGAGATAGAAAAATTCGCCCAGTCTTTAAAAGATTGAGTTTATGACAAATAAGTCACATAATTAAAGAGAACTCGATAAAATTTTCGGTATTTAAAAGTATGTCCAATAAAAGCTTTTCAAAAGTAGTTCAAAAGCTTTTTCACTTATTAAAATACGAAAATCATTATATCGACTTCCAGCTAATGGCAAAAGAAGTTTGAACTTTATAAAAAATTCATTTATCCTGTGTACACAAACATTGGTTTTAAACATTCTTTCGGCCAATCGACTTGGCAAATCACAACATAACGTATCATTTTACTTTGCTCGTTACGTGAGTGCATTTTCGAGAATAATCGCCGCCCCCCCCCTCCCCTTGTATTCCAATATCTTACATTTTTTAGCCAATTATAATTATGAAAATAAATCGATTGATAATAAAGCCATTGAGAAAGACTAATTTGTTTTTAATATTTTACAGGTGGAAGAGATACGAGAGATGATCGACAAAATCCAAACGAATGTCGAGGAGGTGAAGAAAAAGCACAGCGCGATCCTGTCTGCACCCCAAACCGATGAAAGTAAGTTCTCCATACTCTTGCAATTATTCGATTTCCCAACGTTTGTCTCGTGTATCTCAGAACCGCTTTTATATTGCGACTTTATTATCAATTAACGCGACGTAAGATGGCCGATGCCATCACGGTCAAGAAGAGGGAGAGAATTGTGGCGGTAGAGGGGGAGGGGGAGGTGGAGGGGGAGGGGAAGGCTAGAGAGATTTGTATTATATAGACGGTATTTATTGTCCTCGTCGATGACATTTTCTCGTTGTTTAACAGTGACTTTTGTTGTAAGCTCTTCTTTATGAAAAGCTAGAGTCGATTGTTTTGAAATAAAGTATTCGAGTCGCAATTTCGTTTCTTCAATACTAATAATAATTAAATACAATATTTGCATTTCTTTGGAGATAATTTTGGCCTTTTTTATTTTGATAAATTGTTTTCCTTGACGGAGTATTGGCTAGTAAAATACGAAACAAAGCGTATGTTGTTTTAACATTATAAATGCTTCGTTATTTCCTAGTAATGGCTATTTTGCTAAATATTGAGGAATAGAATTTCCGCGACTATAATTCCTAATAAATAATATTTTATTCAATGATGATTATGCATTCGCGCACAATCATGACTCTTCAGTAAAATCCAAGATAATTTAAATCGAATATGGAATTATATGGAAATTTTATGAAATTTTCGTCTTATAGATGATCGACATTATAATATAATATTCTCGTTCGTGCATAAAATATAATCCTCTGACGGAGAATGTTACGCGACGTAAAAATGCACAAAATATCCCTGTTGTGCATTTAAAAAGGCTACGATAAGATAGATAAGCCTATTGTCATTATTTAATCAGCGTAAATTACATAAGCATTCTATAAGAAAACGTCGTGGCTCGAAGAAAGACGGAAAAAATAGCTGGTAGATGAAAGGTTAGGGAATTTAAAAGAGACGAGATGCCAATTGTCCTTGTTCCCGTTGGCATTGTGAAGAAGACGACATCAAGGGGTTGGGTTATCTCTTGTACAGCAGCAGACTCTCTTTGCTTAGCCCCAATTTCCCGTTCAACCCCTCTATATTTCTTTCGCTCTATAGAAAAACTATCTATCACTAGTCTTTATTGTACATCCAACTTCGTCTCATATACGTTCAAATATTTTTGTTAACTAAAGCACATAAATGCACAAAGACTTTTACACTCGAGCTTCCGCTTATTGTGTAAATATTCTATATATTTAAATAAAGCCATCTTTTAACCCAATTTTCAAGCCAAACTTTGCATCACATTCTAGAATTATATTGGTCTATAATTTTCGAGCTTATGCGAGAAGAAATATTTAGGACACTTTTTATTTCACTTAATGAGATCTGTCTACGAATTTAACAAAGAATTTTCAATTTTAAAATTCAACATTTTCTTCCATTTCTTACGATATTTTGCTCTTATTATCCCTTTATTCCATTTTTCTTCTCTAACGCTTGAAATTCTGACCGTCGACAAGAGGTCAATGATCCTTAACTGTCTCAATGCTAGCGACCCTTTTCCTATTCGCTTAACTCTTTCACTCACATGATTCTTCAATCAAGTGCTGGAGAATAGCAATTTTCCATCTGCATGGATAATTATTCTAGTCATAATGCTTAAATTAGATTTTTTAATTTCGATCGATCGAACGTTTTTCGTTTTTCATCAATTTTACTTTTAATTCTTTAAAAATATAATGTATATTGCGTTCCGTAAATTTTATTAGAAAAATTGATGGAAATGTCTATTTCGTCGACCGTATGCATTGGAATAATTATAATTAAATCTCAAGAACGCTTCAACTTTAAGATATTTACTTCAAATTTTTCCTCAACTGTACAATGCTAATTCACTCTTATTATATCAATCAACCTTTGACTATTTACACAAAAAAAAATCATTAGATTCTTTCAACATTTCTTCTATTTCCAAGCAAAATCATTATTAATAAATAACAATAATAAATTTCAAATATTATTAAAATTTTATTGTAAAATATAATTCAAATATATTAATACACTGTTTTTGTTTTTTTTTGGTTTTTCTCTCTTTTTTTTTTTTTTCTTCAATTCAATACAAATAGCGCATACATTGTAATAACAGCAATTGCCAATATAACTTATAATGTTAATATATTACAAATATTACATTACTCTAGCAAATTAAATTTTATCGGCAAGAATTAGATCAATTATTTTCGGAGGAATAATATTTTCCGTATATACAAAATATATATCCAGAAAGTGGCACGATTAATTCGTAAATACAACAGTTCTTTTCATAAGCAGCAACAATTCTTAATTGCTCGCTCTAATTTTCCTAATGTTCATCTAGTGATGGAAACTTTTGATAGAAAGTTGCCTTTGAAAGTGATCTTTAAAGCTTTGAGTTATTATAATATTATTGTATTCCACGATACATATTATCCGATCAAGATATTACAAAAATATCTTCCAAATGACCAACGGTTATGAAATTCTTGTTTATCAACATGTAGCGCATATCCAAACTTAACATCGACCCACAATATTAAACCATTAATATAAAAGACTTATAGTCTAGCGAATACAATTTGCAAATAAATATAATGTTTTATAGTATTAAATATCGTAGCATTGAGCGTATCTCCTATAAACAGATTTTATTCCGAAGTTATGAGTTAGAAACAGAATTCTCGCAAATTTTCACGGCAACTTGAAATACGCAAATCCATACTCGTATTTTCATGTTTCACCGTTGCGATTGAAAATAAAGATAGAAAAAGCGCTACATGCGCGCAGCCGCAGATTTCGCGCGCGTATGCAGGTGACAAGTCGACCTCACTCACACTCCCTCTTCTCCCTTCATTGCCAGCGTCCCTTCACCGCCGTCCCCTCCCCACAAATCCCACCGTCACCTTAGCCCCGTCGAAGCCCGCTCTACGACGTTCAACAGCAGCGGTATAATTTACGCTCGGCCCATGCGTGTGTACACATCGCGCACACGCAACACACCCTATGGCGGCCCTTATCGCCCTCCCCACCCACCACCCTCATCCTCGTCGCCGACAGTCGTCATCCATGGATTTAACGAATCGATCGCGACACTCATCCCACAGACCGCCTATTCTCTACGTTCTTAAAAAACAGGGAAAAAAACAAGTGGAGGTCCACATGCATACACACACACGCACACGCACGCACGCGTATCGCCTTAAGAAAGCCGAGGCCCTTGACGGTCGGAGCGTCAGGGCGCGCGGGCCGAAAGGGAGGAAAGGGAGGAATAATCGATTGCGCCGAGGCATGCTTTCGAAGCAAATTTGCTCGCCCGTTAGCTACTGTCTCGCTCGGATGCGAGGAGCCGTACGAGAAGGGAGAAGGAAAATAAAATGAGCAACTAGGGGCTGGGAAAGGGGAGGGGGATAAAAGAATAACACAATGACATTTGTGGGTGGCCGTGTTCGTGCCGAATCTGCCGGGCGTATGAAATATTTCCGAAACACGCGAGAGAGACCGGTATTCCTAGTCGCCGATCCATAAAGTAATTGACTTTAATGTACGCCGAGAGAAAATACGCTTAATTTTCGCATTCGCGATACAAAATTCATAGTAAGTGCCCGCGAATGCTGTCCCGTTTAATTAAATACGCGATCCGCTAATAATGTTAATCTTAACGTGACGTTATAATCTGAGACGCGGACGATTCTACGGATAAAATGAAATTACCCATGAAATTGCGTATTTTTGAAAATACAAAAATTTTGATTGAGTTGAAGATTTAAGTAGAGAAGTAGGTGGTGAACGTTTGAATGTAAATTTGCCGAAGAACGACTGTGCTTGCGTGCGTGCGTAACTGTGATGGCGCAAGGAAAAGAATATTTTTTACATTGTCTTTTATGTAACGACGTGTGTAAAGTTTGCAAATATACTAAAATACTGTCGATTACCATCGCTTGTCGCGTACTTTGTTCGAGCGAAAAATTCTCTATCTCTATCTCTCTCTCTCTCTCTCTCTCTCTCTCTCTCTCTCTCAATCTCAATCTCAATCTCAATCTCAATCTCAATCTCTAATAAAACAATAGGGAGGAGAATAAATGGATTCTAAACATAAACGACGCTTCCCCCGCCGTTGTATTAAACGAGACTTTTTTAAACAACGAAAGATAGACAACGCTCGAGTGAACTCGAAACGCACAGATCGCGCCTTGAAAAAGCGCTCTAAGCCTTATCCGCATACGGAACTTTTGAAAATCAATGATTTTTACCAAAGTCAAAGGAGCAAAAGTGCCAGCCAGCGTGTAATCAGCTGCCGACACACGGGTTGCGCCGAGTACATTATTATTATTATTATTATTATTATTATTATTATTATTATTATTATTATGTCAAAGTCAATAATTAGGTACGAGGTTGGCTCCCTTCTCGATAACCTTTAACAAAACAGGTCCCGGCGCAATTCATTGTCCCCGATCGTCCTGAAACTAAAAGAAATATCATCGCTCCTTTACCAGTCGAGTTATAATACACGAGTGCCGCCGGCAAATTGCCCGACCACTTCTTCTCGCCCACGCAAGCACTCGTCGCCCGAACCTTCAAATACCATGCGAATTTTAAAACCAAGAGCATTCGGAGCGTTCTGGACCTCCGTAACCCGGGGACACGGAGCCTAACACCTTTAAGGCATCGATCGGTTATTCATGGAAGAGGCGTGGGTGCGCGAATTCCACAAGTCGCGGTAAATCGCGCGACGGGAGGTCGTTGACTAGGAGCTGTGAGGATTCGTGGCCCACGGACGGAGTAAAGCGCATAAGGATCTCGTGCTGGAGCGAGCGAAATAGAAAGAGAGAGAGAAAGAGAGGATGGAGAGCATATACTTATCGATCGTCAGGCGGAGGGAGCGCGACGGCGCGCGTCGCCCCACGGAATAACGAATATATTTTTCTGGCCAAACGCCCTGAGCTTATGAGGATGTGCCGCCCGCGGATCTCCGAGCTCGAGGATTCCGATGGCGCGGG